CGTAATAAAGATTAATTACTCTTCTATCATTATGTAATAAAGATTAATCACTCTTCTATCATTAGGTAATCAAGATTAATCACTCTTCTCTCATTAGGTAATGAAGATTAATCACTCTTCTATCATTACGTAATAAAGATTAATTACTCTTCTATCATTATGTAATAAAGATTAATCACTCTTCTATCATTACATAATAAAGATTAATCACTCTTCTATCATTATGTAATAAAGATTAATTACTCTTCTATCATTATGTAATAAAGATTAATCACTCTTCTATCATTATGTAATAAAGATTAATCACTCTTCTATCATTATGTAATAAAGATTAATTACTCTTCTATCATTATGTAATAAAGATTAATCACTCTTCTCTCATTAGGTAATGAAGATTAATCACTCTTCTATCATTATGTAATAAAGATGAATCACTCTTCTCTCATTATGTAATAAAGATGAATCACTCTTTTCTCATTAGGTAATGAAGATTAATCACTCTTCTATCATTATGTAATAAAAATTAATTACTCTTCTGTCCCGTTCCCCAATTGCTCAGTGGTAAGTCTGCAGGCTTGTAATGCTAAAGATCGGGTTTTGATAACCGCGGTGGGCAGAACACAGATAGTCCATTGTGTAACTTTGTGCTTAAAAGCAAATAAACTCTTGTCATGACGTAATAAGACTTAAGTACTCTTTATATTACTACAAATTAAGATATAATTAATTTCCTATCATCACATAGGCTCTAAGAGAAATAATTTTATTTTCACTTCCATAATAATAAGAAGAACATTTTTATCTCGACACCATACAGGAAAGATAATTCCCTGTCTTTTTATTATACAGACGAACTGAATTATGCAGAAAAGTAAGTTATTACCATTTAAGGAATATAGTCACAACCACACCAACATACGGCAAAACTTACACTTTTTTTTTTACTTTTATGCAGAAAGCAAAATCATTCTTAAGTTCTTATAAGAATAAAAATAATTATATAAATTGGCGCCACAAGGAAATATCTATCCACACGGAAGACTCGCCTCATTTTTAATGATCACTTGCTTGGATTGAAAGTTAACTTATTCTCCTTTTTTCCACGCAGAAGTGATTCTGTCATTCTGTTCACCACAGTACAATTCCGAGTATTCTGGTATAACTATGTGGAAGAGCTAACTTTTATATCATGTAGAAATATAAAGTCAATTCATAATATAGAACAAAAATTACCCTTCATTATTATTATTTGTAAAACGGCTACATTTTATGTCTATAATTAGTATATAGAAAAGAACATTTGATATTTATAATTATTATAGAGAAAAGCACATTTTAGGTCTATTATTACTATACGGAACATCTCCATTTAATGTCTGTAATTCTTATATATAAAGATAATATTTTATGCCTATTATTAGAATACAAAACGGTTACTAATTTATTTATTTGTTGGTAGTTGAGCACAAAGCTATACAATTCGCTATCTGTGCTATGTTTACATGGGTATCGAAATCCTATTTTTAGTGCTCTAAGTCTGCAGCGCTATCGCTGAGCCACTGGAGGATAGGCACTATTTAGGCCTAAAACTATAACATATAAAAGCCATATATTAGATCAGTTATTATTAAACAGAACGACTTAATTTTATGTTTGTAATTATTATGGAGAATAGCCTAAATTCTGTGCTTATCAATATGGCAAAAAGCCCTATCGTTATTGTAACATCAGACATACACCTGATAAACATTTTTATCAAAATATATTAACCGAATTAAATGTTTATAGCACAGCGTTTAAGCAGAATTCATAAATGTTAATTATTCGTTTAGACGAATTTACTCCATATATTGTCATAGTATCAAGTTATGTATATAAACCACCAAAGGGTAGTTATTAGTTGTATAATATCTTAAAATGGCATGCACACGTTTTTACCAGTAAGATTGTAAGTGGAATTATATATATATATATTCTAGTTTCTATAATACCCTTAAAACTATTTTAAACCCTCAGTCTTGGCTTGTAAAGTTGGAAATGTTTTCAACTCGTCGCTTCGTTTCAAAATAGTGCCCGGCATGGCCAGGTGGATAAGGCGCTCGACTCACAATCTGAGGGTCGCGGGTTCGAATCCGCATCC